GTAAATTGAGGCAAATTGAGACCATACTCATAAATTAAATAAATCAAACTCATATTTATAAATATCATATTGTCTCCCTAGTATAAAAAAATGAAATAGTAATAAGATCCAAAATGTACAAAAGATATTGTGATAATGGAAGGGAAAGAAAGTTCTCAAAATGAAAGGATAACTGGGATAGCAGAAAGGAGAGAAGGAAAAATGGAAAAGGTTGTATGTATATAGATATACATATATGTGTGTGTGTTTATGTATGTATACACAAGATAGATAGCTGTACTAACCTCTGTTAGTGCTTTCATTGTTTGATTGATCATATTTTATGCCTAAATCTTGTACCCTGAACAACTACTTCTAAGATAATAATGTGCAATATATTTAGTGTTAAATTTTCTTTTTTTGAAATTTTGTATCATTTCTATTTTCTTCTGTTTTGCTTTTTTAAAAATAAAACATCTTTAAAAAGTATCTCGAACTAGTCCCATTCTCTGTAGGGGTACAATTTCCACTGTAAATGTATACTTTAGCATAAGAGTAGCTGGATGTGCATTTCAGTACTTTGTTCTGAGTAATACATGAAGCAATTTATGTGTTTGCCCACATGGTATGGTGAACAGTAAGGTGTGTGCACATGTGAAAAAGTGGCAAAAGGGGATTTATAACCATGTTATGCTTCATCTAATTGGTTTGCATATGTTTACTTAAGCATCACAGAGGATCCAACAGACATACATTACTACAGGATTTGTGAGAAAAATGTTTTCTTTTTCATTTTTGTGGGAATTAGCTCATTTTAGTACAATGGCACATGAAAAATCATTTTTGTGGGGCTGGGGGTTTAGCTCAGCGGCATAAGCACCTGCCTTGCAAGCAGGCGGTCGTGAGTTCGATCCCTGGTACCGATGAAAACGAAAAAGACAAAAAAGAAAAAGAAAAATCATTTTTGCAAGTTTTTAAGGTTAAAAGTGAATCATCAGATTATTAATGCATGGATGATGAAAATGATGCATTATGGTAAAATATACACTTTCCTAGCAGACGAGTGGTACAGGTGAATGATGATGATGATGATGATGATGACGATGATGGTGACTTTGACATTGGCCATATGAGTCAAAGATTCTGTGATAATGAAATGGAGCAAGAATCAACTGATAAAGACACAGGAAATATATATCTTTTTCATTCAGATGACAAAGAAGACAGCAATGTGAGTACATATTTGACTCTCAAAACATCCAAAATGGTCACACAACTAAATCAAATGATTCAGTCCAAATATATACTGTAGGTCTTGGTAGGTGTGAAACGTATTGGACAGAATGCTAGCACTGCCATTCAGTGTCAGAAATTATAACAGACAAAGTGCTACAAGATGCTCTGAAATACACAAAGGCTAAAATGAAAGTAAAATGTTCTGTGTGCACCATTAGCCATATTAAAAATGTATTTATTATGACACCACACTAGATGAACTGAAAGCATTCATAGATCTGCTATGCTTAATAGTGATTTCTCATGATAATCACAGGAATGTAAAAGATTTAGGGAAATGTGACAGGTCAACGTTTGGCATAAAAATTCATGGCCTCGTAGATGTGAAGACTTATTATTGTTTTAATTTTGACATTTGTCTTGGAACTCAACCATCAGGTCCTTATTTGTGTAGTAATAAATTGAATAGTGTTGTGAACAGACTTGTTTGCTTCTCCCAAACTAATCAGAATGTGACATTGAACAATTGGCTTACTAGTTTCCAATTGGTGATGTATTTACTAACAGAGTACAAGTTGACCAACACAGAAACTGTATGTACAAACAAAGCATAAATTCCAAATGAAATGTTTCAATATCAAAACAGAAAATTGTGTAGTGAAATCTTTGGATTTTAGAAAGATTTACATTGGCAGCATATATAGCAAAGAAAAACAAACTGGTATTGCTAATGCGAACATTTTATCATGATGGGAAATACTGATAGGGAAATTTCAACAAAACAAAAGCCTGAGATGAAAAGTTTCTACAACAAAACCAAAAATAGAATAGACGTTGTTGATGAGTTGTTCAGCAACTATGATGTCACTTGACATATAAAGCATCAGCCAATGGTTGTGTCTTACCCAATCCTAAACACGTGTGGCATAAATAGTTTGATAGTTTACAAAAAAAAAAAACAAGTGCAAAATATCATTGAGACATTTTCTTAGAGGACTGGAGCTGAAGCTCATAAGAGATTCTTTACATTAGAGGAAAACTGAAATATTTCTGCCAGGAAACTATGCAAAAAATTGTGGAACACACTGGTGAGCTGACAGGTGAACAGGCAGGTACAGCAAAGATCTACCACAAATATCTACTACAACAATAGGAAAACAAAAACGATGTCTACTGTGCCTTATAAGAAAGAACAGGAAAATGAAACATATGTGTCATTAATGTAAACAATATTTGTATATGGCACATACAGTTGTCATGGATGGAAATTCTCTTGGATATGACAAATGAAGCAAAGATTATTTCTGTGGTAGACCTTTGTGTTCATGTTGTGATTCACTTAGGCTTTTTTTTTGATGTTATATTTTAGGGTTTGTAAGCAAGTAAACAGCTGATGTGAAAATGTTGATGTACATTCCAAGCACCCATTATATATTTGACATTTTATTATAGTGATATCTTAGTTCCCTTCTAAGTGCACTTTGCACAATACAGTCGGAAGCTCCTGACAAAGCAAGAAGAGAGGTGACAAGACTGCCACATAGGAAAGGAAAACAAAGCACATTTGCTGTCAGTGTAAGTGAGATGTGTGCATGAAACAAGTAGTTGTCAGGTGTGAAGCTGCCTTGGACATGTGAGTTGAAGCAAAGATTATTTCTGGTGTAGAGTTCCATTGGTATTTTCATTGTAATTCATATAGGAATTTATTTCTGATGTTATATTTTAGGTTTTGAAAGCAGGTACACAGCTGATGTGAAAATATTGATGTCTATTCTAGATGCACAATACATATTAATAATTTAATACTTTATTTTATTTTATTGATATTTTGTATTTCTGTTAACTACATATAAGAACCTCCTCACAAAACAGCAAGACCATGATATGCCAAGTATGTCCTACAAAAAGGCCAGGAAAGTGAAATACATGTGCTGTCACTGTAAGCAGCATGTGTATATGGAACACACTGTTGTCATGTGTGCAGACTGCCTTAGATATGATAATTGAAGTAAAGATATTTTTGTTGGTATTTTTATTGTAGTTCATATAAGAATTTACTTGTGTTGTTAGTTTTTAGACTTTGTACACCAAAAAAGTTGATGTTGAAATTTTTGATGCTTTATAAGTAAACAATAAATGTTAAAATTTAATGCTTATTATTAATACACTAAAACTCATAAAATTAATCATTTATCAATAGCAACATTATAAAGAATAAATATGGGTCTGACAGATACATGTTGTTGTGATTTTATGACAAAATTATTGTTATGCTCCAGGTAAGGTTACACTACCTCACTTCCACCACACTGAGATCAAACTTCTAGCACATAAGTCTCTGAGAGACAAACTATATCTGAATGGCAGAAAGGCATGTGTTTCATAGTTTTGTTGTTTTTCAGATTAGAATATGAGAATAGGACATTAATTTAGAGGTGGTGGGCCTCTTTTCTCCATCCAAAATATTACAGCATGTTTATGTGGAAAGTAGGTCTGGCTTAAAGATGAGCATGAGGAATTCCTGTAGATCTATTTGCTTTATTTAATAATAATTATTGATATGGCATTCACATTCAATAAATATTTTCTGAAATATCATATGCACTTAGACCCTAGGGATATGATGGTAAATTTAAATAGTCACATAATCCCTGATCTCACCATGCAGTACACTTTAGTAGCAGAAGATATCTGTCAACCAAATAATCACACATTTAAATATATTGTATCTTCATAAATGAGTGTTATGAAGTAAAAGTACAGCCAGTATATTGGCTATAAAAGAATGATTCAAAAGCACTGGCTCTGTTCTGGGGTTATGGGGAATGGTTGCCTTGAGAAATGACGTTTAACATGGGACTTACTGAGGTTGAGTGGTGAAAATGTAGTCACCTGATAGAGAGGCAGTATGGGGGAGGGCCTTACAAGGACAGAGGATGACTGAAAGGATTTTTCATCAGTCACAAGCACTGATTTTCAGACAATGAGGGAGCTTAAGAGATGAATTTGACAGGGGGGTTGAGAACAGGCTAAAAATGACCACAGGAAATTTGTCTTCTTTTATTTCTTTGGGACAGGAATCACAAAATAATTGGAGGGACCAGAGTGCTGCAGGAAATAAATAGCTAACTATTTAAATGATTTTGGACTTGTTGTAATTTTATTTTATATTTACTTATTTATTTTTGGTACCAGGGATGGAACTCGTCACCTCTTGCTTGCCAGGCAGGTGCTGAAGCAGCTAAGCTAAATCCCCAGCCCCACAAAGACCTAACTGCGCATCTAGGCACAACTGGAAGACTGAGTTCTATACCAGCTGCTATTCCAAGAACCTCAAGTAATGTTGAGGTTCTCTAGAACGGTAATAAGAAAGTAGGGGACCTTGAATCTTCTATGCCCCAGCCACACAGGACCTTTTGTTTTAGACTGCGATGAGAATTTTATGAGCAGTAGTCACATACAGGGTCTACTTAATGTGTTATGATCATGTCGTTTCGTGGGTTATTTGAAATTAGAGGGTGTGTATGTTAAGCTCTTGATAAAAATGAAGACTCAGGTCTGGTAAATAGGGTAGACGGAGGACAATTACACGAAATGGGGCCCTGGCTACCTCTGCATGAGGAATAGGCCCCAGGCTGCAGAAGAACTGAGTGGGAGAGCACTATTTGATGGTCCATTGTTTCTGTGCCTAGTAATAGGCTAGGGGACGGGAAGGAGGATGTGGGAGACAAGGCTGGACACTAGGCATGGACGAAGAACAGGTCAGCTAAGGAGCGCTTTCCACACAGAGGGTAGCAGTCTGCTATGCTGGGTCCCCAGCTCCAAGAAAGGGGCTTGAAGAGGAGGCGCGAGCCCCGCCCCCTCCCCTGCCGGGCGCGGGCGCGAGACATTGCGCGGCTGCAGCGGCGGGAGCGAGCAGCAGCTGTCAGGCCACCGAGGCCCAAGCTGCACTTGCTGCCCCATTGAGGACAAGGCGGCAGCAGGAGCGGTGACGGTGTCGCTGGAGAGCCACTCGCTGCTCTCAGAGCTGATCTGCCTGGCACCCGCTGCCCTCTCCTTTCTCCTTCCCATTGTTTTGGGTAAGGTGCCGGTGCGTGGGCAGGAAGAGGGGCTAGGACTGGCCGACCTGGGAAGCCAGGAGATGGGGGCCTGTGGGAAGAGGGAAAAGGGCAGTCTAGGTGATCCCTGGGGCCACTTGCACCTTGGGAAACGAGTCTAGGAGCTGTTAGGTTTGGAGATGGGGGTAGGTGTCAGTGGAGGGGGGCGTTGCTGAGTAATGTGAAGTGGCTGCCAAAGCCGGGCAGAGAGGCGTTGGGCTCCGTGGGGAGCGGGTGTGGTTCAGTGCGCATGCGCCACAGCGGGACTTGCTCTAAGAGCTGGGGGGTGAAGTGAAAGACCTGGGTCCAAGGTAGTTGAGATTTTGCATGACATCTCACTTTGTAAGTTCTCGATGTTAACAGTTCCCCTGTCATAGAGATCTTAGCATCTCAGGTCTGAGGAAGCTTCTTTAATGTCATCAAAACCTTATCTGTTTGTCATCAGACAGTGTACTTAGAAGGAAGTGGCCTAGGAGAGTGCCAAATTGCCTCTAGTGTATCTTTTGGCTTATAACACCTGATCTGTCATAAAGAGTGAAAGGTTACCATGAAATTACACACTGGACCCTTTTAATTGCATATAAGATATGAATGTAGGAATAGCCTTCCAACAGCATGGCAGCTGTGGTACTTAGACTCACAGCATGTGTGTAACTGATAGCTTGTTAGTTCTGAAAAACAAATCCAGTGCGTCAGAGGCCTTCCCTGGTATGGAGCACAACCCCAGTACAACCACCAAGCATCAAGTTGTACTGGAGATAATCTACACTATTTAAGTAAGGATTTCAAAGACTAAATCATTTCTTATTTGTGCCGATTTGCCCATGCATTACAGAAAACTGCACCCAATTTGCCAGTTTGCCAGTATTTCCAAATATTTTGCCAGAATTCAACAGTGAATTGAATGCTCTCAATCAGTGTGTCATCACAAGATAGGCTTTCCCCACAGCTCATTCCATGCAGACTTTCTTCAGGGTCAGTTCTTCACTGCCTAGCCCTCCCGTACTGCTCTTCCCTTGTCGTATAAAGTCTTCTCAAGACTTGCTCCCAATCTGAACTGATGATTTTGAACACCATTTCACCTCATGGCAACCGAACTGGCTTTGCCAATTTGATTGTCTACCTCTCTGCTCTGTCGCAACACTAAAATGTACTATTTTCAAATGGTTCAACATTTCTCTCCATTGTATCTCCTTCTCCCTCACCTCACTCCCACTCCCACTCCCAAGCATCCCTAACTACATAGAATAATTTTTATGAACTTGTATGGAATAACAGATTCAACAGGTTTTAAGTGTAAAGAACAAAGAATTAGGGAGTATTGGTTATGTGGATTTGCAATCCGTCTTATTGTCCAAGTCTGAGACCCTAATTGAAAAAATGTGAAGAAATTATCCTTAGATAGTGCTTGATAATCTGTTTTGTCGGGGTGGGGAAAGGTAGGAAAAGGAAATTACATTTCTTGGATATTTTAGTCAAAGCCAGAACTTTCTCTGAATGGGAACAAAATTAGGAATAAATACCTAACTTAGCCCACAGGTCAGTGTATCTCAGTAGTAAGCTTTTATCAAACAACATGTTCAAAGCCCTGGATTCAATCCCGAGCACCATAGAAAGTAATATATTTGAACCAACTCCTTGCCCAATACGGGACTCCTAAAAGATGCACATAGAATTTGACTTCAACATTAAATGTATTTCATAATGTGTTATCAAAGAAATTTGTTGCTTAATGCTACCTTCTCAAAATTTGGATTAAATTTGGCATATACAGGAGGAGAAAAATTTGTTCCTATGGGGTTGTTTTGTTTTTTATTTTTATTTTTTTTAAAAAATGCAAAACCGAAAAAAGGGTAGAAATGATACAGAATTTCAAAAAATAACAGTAAGAAATCATCACTAAATACATTACATATTATTATCTTAGAAGTAGTTGTTCAAATTACAAAATTAAAGCATTAAAAATGAACAATCAAACAATGACAGCACGAACTATTCTTTTTGATTAACTAACAAAAACTTAGTAGTATGGTTGTCTATCTTACACACTTAAACAAACATACAGTTGTATGTGTATATCTACAAGTTTTTCTTTCCTTTCAAGCACTTTTTTTCCTTTTCATTATTACAATATCTAGTATACATTTTTGATCTTATTACTCTTTCACTTTTTTATTACTATTATTTATTTTATATTGTGCTATTTCTTTTTGAAATATAAAAAAGGACTTATCACTCATTTTTAGTGATAGATAATAGTGGTAATGATAATATCTACTAAAAACAAAAGTGGGTATAATCATTCTGTTCTTGTTTTGGATAGGAATGAAGATACTTTTGGAAATATATATTTTAAAATTATACTCATAGGAAAAGGCACTCTTAACAGGTGGAATTCCTTAATAGAATTCACTTAAATTCATAACTTCTACTCATTAGCCACCCTACATATAATAATATTTGGCTATCTTAAAGAACTATGGATCTATTGTACCTCAGAATCATTTGACCGGCATTAATTTTGGGCATTTGACAAATCTGTTAATTTATAAATAGCTATTTATTGGTCGTCTCTATGAAGGACCCTACAAGCTGCAAGGGCTTCAAAGATACATAGAAAGAGAGCTCTTAGTATTTTAAAAATCGTTGCAAACTCATAGTTAGAAAACAGTATAGGGCAGTATAAGGATATGACCTTAACTGTAAAGGATGATATTTTTATTTAAAGTAATGTTTTGACCTATTTATGGAGTACAGTATGATAACTTGAGACATTTATGTAATATGTAATGATCAAATTATGATAATAAGTACTTCTATCTCCTCAAATATTATTCATCTCTATATCTTGGGAACCTTCTCTTACATACTGTTCCAGTTTCCTAAAAAATAATCAGGGGGCTGGGGATTTAGCTCAGCAGCATAAGCGCCTGCCTTGCAAGCAGGCAGTCATGAGTTCAATCCCCGGTACTGATAAAAAGGAAAAAGACAAAAAAAAATCTTAGATTGTTGTAGAGAGTAGTCACCATACTTGTGTATGTATAAGCTTGTATATGTTAATATTTTGAATTTTTGAGGGCAAGTCCTTGCTTTAAATGTTTATGCACTTCCAAGCATATCTGTATCCAGTGAGTGTTCAAGTCATGAAGCTTTATGAAGTAGATCAGGTGAAGAGAAACGATAGACAGTGGAAGAAAAGTCAAAAAGCTCTCATAATAAAATAGATGTGAAGAGATGGAGATCAAAATGCATGGTGGGCATGGTGTCATGCTCCTGTAGTCCAGCTACTTGGAAAGCTAAGTTAGGAGGATTGCTCTACTTTTCTAGTTTGGCTATTCACAGCTATAAAATTCTTAAAATCACTTATGTTTGTGTCCCATAGGCTTTTCTATATTGTGCTGCCATTGCCATTTGATACTATGAACTTTTAAATTTCATTTCATTTCTTTTGTGATACACTGCTTATTCAATAATATCTTACATTTTTAATCTCTATGAGTTTGTGTAGTTTCTGTTGTTGCATTTGCTGTTGAGTTCTAGTTTCATTCCATTATGATCCAATAGCATGCAAGAGATTATTTCACTTCTTTCCTATTTATTTAAGCATGCTTCATGGCTTAAACTACAATCTCTTTTGGATAAGTTCCATGTACTGTTGAAAAGAATATATATTTTTTGTTGATGAAACACTTTTGATAAGTCCTTTTGTTTGATGATGTCCTTCAACTCTGATATTTCTTTGTTGGTGTTTTTGTTTGATCAACCTGTTTGATCAACCCACAAGATAGTGGGATACTGTGGCCCCTATTATGATTTGTTTTGCTGTTTATATGACTTTTTAAGGTCCAGGAGTATGTGTTTTGTGAAACTGGATATGATGCAATTCAGTGCATATATAGTGACAATTGTTTTCTCCTGTTTGTTACTTTGCCAGTACGTATTGACCTTTTTGTCTCTCTGGTCCATTTTGCCTTGAAGTTCACTTTGTCTGCTAGTAGGATAGCTACTCCTGCGTGCTTTCAGGCTCCAGTTACATGGAATATCATTTTCCATTCTTTTGTTTTGTCTATATGTTACTTTTAGTTTATTTATTTCTCTTGCTTGATTACTCTGGCTAAAATTTCGAGTGAATTAAGTACGTCTATTGTAGGTAGCATATAGTTGAAGTTTGTTTCATGATCCAATCTGCCAGTCTGTATCTTTTGACTGGGGAGTTAAGACCTTTTATGTCGAGAATTATTACTGAAAGACATTTACTTGTTCCTATCATTGAATCATTTTTCCACTGTTGTGTTACTTTTGTTTAACCTCTCTTTCTGTTAGATGTATTCTCTCCTTTAGACTCTTTAGTGATGCTGGTCCTAATGTCATTGTCTAGAATTCCTTTGAGTACTTTGTGTAGTGCTGGCTTCGGGTAATGAATTTCTTTAGTTGTTCTTTGTAAGGAGAAGTCTTTATCCATCAAATTTGAAAGAAATTTTTTCAGAAAATATTAATCTGAGTTGGAAGTTTTTTCTCATGGACTCAAAAAACTTCACTCCAGCCTCTGCTTCCCTCTACATTTTGTGTTGAGACATCTGCATTTATTCTAATAGGCTTTCATCTGTAATTCACTCAGTGTTTCTCTCTCACCTTTTAGTAATCTTTCTTTATGGTGAAATTTTGGAACTTTGCCTATGAGGCGTTGTGAAGAAGTTATTTTCTGGTCACGCATATTTGGTGCTTATGCCTCATTTACCTGGATATCAGATTCTTTCTATAGACTAGGAAAATTTCCTGCTATTATTACACTGAATACATTTTTATGACTTTATTGTTGTCTTCTAGTCTTTTCTTAACTCCTATAGTTATTAGGTTGGTATTTTTTATTTATCTAGTTGCTGCTAAATTCAGTTTCCACTGTATTGCTTGTCATTAGGGTAATTACTAAGTATGTGAACTACTACATCAACTTGATCTTCTAGTTCTGACACTGTTACATC